TGTTGAATGAGCACATAAACTTTCCCTAGATTTTTCTTTCCAATCAAGCTGCATTCCACATTACTGGTCTCTTCTTCAGCTAAACAAACAAAACAGAAGTATAAAATCTAAAAACTACCTTTTAGAATCTGTTCAGTAATTACCCAGTTTACCATTCTACCAATGACACATGGGTCACATTCATTTTTTGTCTCTTCAACATCTTTGTAGCACCAACGTGAGTATTGCTAGGCTACAAATGACTATTATTCTATTCAGTGCATAAAGGCTACACTCAAATCCATGTACCTTAGGTACAGATTTCTCTCTTTCTTTCCCTTTTTCTTTCCTTCCTTCCTTCCTTCCTTCCTCCCTCCCTTCCTTTCTTTTTTTTCTGTAGATACTGTGCCAAGTACTGCAAAACAACTTCAACAAGCCTACCTGTCCTATCCCATCATCTCCTCTCCTCATCGTGCAATCTTTCTGGAAAGCCATTTGGATCGCACGAGTCTTTAAGAGTTCATATTCTTTGACCAAGGTGTTCCCTTTCTAAAAATATCTAAGGAAATAATTAAAAACTCTGACAGAGATTTAAATACAACATAACCCTTACACAATAACTAGGTGCCAGACACTGTTCTAAGCGATTTACACTAATTAGCTCATATAATCTTCACAACAACTCTAGGAGACACGTATTATGACCAACCCCCATTCTACTGCCATGGGAGCAAGTGGCAGAGAAGAAATTCTAGTCAAAACAATTTGGTTACAACATCTTTGCTTTTAACCACCTTGGCTAAGCTGCCTTTAACAATGAAGGAATCCCTTAGATAAATCATGACATAAGCATAGAATATTATAAAGACATTTAAAAGGCTGCTTTAGAAGTGTATTAAATAGCATGGGGACATGAATATGGTTTTCTGGGATGACTACTAGATAACAAAGATTTGTTCCTTTGCCTTGTAAAAAGGAAGAATAATAAACAGACTTTTTTGGGGGGGTGGGGGCAGTCTCCAAATTTAATGAACTCAAAAGTACTGTGTAACAACTTTAAAGGTATAATAAAAAATATTTCTGGTTCATGTCCTTTGTGCCTACAGTATAGTCCTGACAAAACTATAAAGGCAGGCAGGGACATGAANGGCAAAGTGTGATTTTAACTAGATTAAGGAGACTAAACCAGGCATCTGGATAATGATAATAATAGCAACTATCATTTATTGTGCTGAGTATTTTGTTTCATTAAATCCTCGCAATAGTTCCCTGGGCTATATATTTGAGCAGCTCCATTATAAATGAGACTGTCACTTATAGAGGTGATATAACTTGTTTAGGGTCACAGAGCTATTATTGGAGCCGAGACTCATTCCCAGGTCTGTCTGCTTCCCGGGCTGTTTTGAATCAGGGGATACACGCCCTGAAACAAATGCTGTTTATTAGTTGTTAACGAGTGCACAGAAACAACATAAAGAATAAAAGGGAAGAAGGGGAATACCTAAACATTTTTAAATGTTGAAATTATAAAGACCTTAGTTGTAATGCCTAAACATTTGTTAGCTATAGTTTGGCAAATATCTTGCCATTTCAGTGTTGGCTCTCTATCTAAAAAGCAAATGAGGGCCGACCGAATGGCTCAGCTAGTTAAGAGCTCGCTTAAGAGTTTGAGCTCTGAGCAACAGCGGTTCGATTCCTGGCCCAAGCTGAGCTGCCGCTGAGCTGCCAACAGGTGGCAGGATGGCTCAGCTAATAAAAAAAATTAAAAAAATAAACAGCAAATGACCTTATTTGCCCTACCTGTACCACAAGAATACAAAGATGCAAAGATCCATGAAAAAACACTTAAACACACTGCTACAAATGTGAAGTGACTAGGTAGACCTGGTTTGAATTAAGCTGGTAAGTAAAAATAAGTGTAAACGAAATCGAGCTTTTAAAAAACATAGACTATATAAGAGGATAAAGCCTCATACTCACTGTGTCAGCTCAAGCGTAGCTTTTCTGGAGAATACCCATGCTACTTTTTCATCTTTTTCTTTTGGGATGTCATTTTTATCCTCATAAGCCAAGAAGTAGAGTGAAAACTTCATAGTGGGAAAATCGAATTTTTGTAGTAGCCTGAAATTAAACAAGAAGGCTGAATCCACTAACAACAGGAAAGGTTAACTCATAGTCAAATCAACATGATACTGTTCAAGTTCCACTAAGAATAACACCTGTGTGCAGTGAGGCTATCTTAATAGGAAATGCAGGGGAAAATAAAGGAGAAAAAAAGTCTCATTAAAAAAACCTATTCGCCTGTAAATATCAGTGAAATGCTTTTTTTTAAAGTAAACATTTGTAATTCATCAATTCTTCAAATAAAATGAAACTTAGCTGGAATTATGGTATCTTTTATAAATGGCCAAAGTTTCTTCAAAAGAAAATCTAATTTTTAGTGAAAAATATATTACCTTATTGTTCTTTCAGATACGTGGCATTTGAAAGTTAAATAAAATAAACTTATTGAGTTCTTACTATGCCAGAACGCCCAGGAAAAGAAATTGAGGATAGGTGGTAAGAAATAAGGAAGGGCAGATTACTGGCTAACAGTATCAAATCCTGCAGCACGGTCCCACAGGAGAGTGAGAAAACAGGTCACTAAACAGGGAAAGGTCCTGTGAGGGCAGCTGCAGCAGCACGGGCAGCGGAAGCTGGGCTGCCCTGGATGGGGAGAAAATGAGAGGAGAGCAAGTGAAATAACAAGCGCGGTTTACCTACGTAGATGGTCGGTGAGGATGGGAAGGTGGGCAAGAGGGCAGAGGGCCAGAATCATCCTAGAAGAGCAAGACTGAAGCTTTTCTGTAGGTTGAGGGCAAAGAGCCAGTGGAGAGACTGGTATGAGAGAGTGAAAGACTTACTAATCCTGAGGGTTTAAAAAAATTAATTGAGGGGGTGGCCAGTTAGCTCAGGTGGTTAGAGCGCAG